TATCAAGAAATGTTGTCTTAAACACTCCCCAATCCACCGGGCCCGCTCTCACGGGTCTCTCATCTCTCCATTGCTCAAACCACACTTGGGATACATCCTTCAATTGATACGCGACTAGTTTCGCCTTTTCTCTAGAAGATACACCCATGGCATCCACCACTTTAAACACTTCATCTATGAAGCCTTGGGGGTCTTCATCCACTTTAGAGCCGTGGAAGGTAGGGGGATTCATCCTTGTGAAATCCCTAATTCTAGAAGAGGGTGTACTTACATTAGGGTTCATTTGTGGTCCAACTCCTCGGTTAGCTTGGGCCATTAAGGCTTGAGTTTGAGTTGTGACGGCTTGGGCTTGAACCATCATGAGTTGGGTCCAAGTTTGGAAGGGAGCCCTTATCTCCACATTAGACATGGCCCCTTCATCATCTTGAGCTTGAGGTTCTTGAGGAGCTTAGCCACCTTGAGGGCCTTGAGGGGGAACCTCCTCATTGACATTGTCCTCTTGAGCCCTCTTTGCATTAGCCCTTCTTATATTCATATTCCTATAAACACAAGAGAAGGATTAGGAAAAGAACACTTATAGAACAAAACTCTAAGGCACGACTTCAAGAATAATGAAACAAGTGTAACTTTCTATCATCCTATACCCTCTCGCTCATATATGAGTCACGACTCACACCGATGAACAAGACTCTACTAGACGTCACTTGTGAGTATTCAACCCTAAAATATTTCCCTAAACCTTGTGCTTTGATACCATGTTTGTCACGACCTAAGAGCACCCCCTAGTCGTAACACGGCATATTCGACCCCGAAGGGGTCTTATACGATCCTCATAGCATTCATTCATCGCATAGGTAATAAAAATAGTGCGGAATTAAAACATTTCTTAATAAATCCAACAATTGAAAACTCATTTTTAAAGGAGCGGAATATTAAAGTCTCACATGGCCATCTTAGATAAAACTTTATACAAGATAGGGTAATGGCCCTTTACAATCGAAGTCCTAACAATAGTTTAAAATGTAAAAGAAATCGAAACATGAAAAGTCCTTGTCCTCGGTCTATGAGGACATACCCAAAAGATGTCTTGGAAGAAGTCTATTCCAAGCTCCAACTAGATATATCCACTTAGTTACCACAACCTACACTTGTAGTAAAAACATAGAAGAAGAATGGGGTTAGCACATAAAGTACTAAGTATGATAGCCACACAAAACATGCTCAGAAAGGACATTTATATGAAAGACATGCTTTTATGCTATTTTGGTAAAACTTCATTACATACAAGTATAAGAGTCATAATACTCAATCATAAACAACATACAAGTCATTTATCACAATGGAGAAATGTTCAACATATATAACCCATTACATTTCCATAACCCTTCACTTAAAGTAACCCTTAGGCTATACCTTATGCAATATATGGATAGCGTCCCATACCACTATCCACACCAAGGCACCACCCTAAGGTCACCAAAAGTGAACTTTCCATTCAACCTTTCCACCTTCAACACTATACATTCATAAAGACATAAACATTATTTAAGACATGATCATCACATAAGGACCCTCACTAAAGATAACTCTAAGTCACACTTGTCCAATGTGTAAGTAGCATCCCATACTACTACTCACACTAAGTGCTCCTTTGAAGTCACCATAGACTAGGAACATTCATTCTCAACAAGTAATAACAAAGAAGTAACTCATACATATATACAATCCAAAGTATAGTGTGCATTCTTTCATTACATATATAAACATTCAAGTAACCATTCCTTAACTTCATTAAGAACACCCTCATTCATTAGACATAAGATCAACATTATTCATTAACGTGATCATAAGAGTCCATTCATTACATTAACATTATAAAGGCACACACCATTACCTCCCTCAAATGCCTACTTGTGCAATGCATAGATGGCGTCCCATTCCACCACCCACACTAAGTAGTACATTCTTAAGAGACCATAGTTCATTAACATTATTGTGGGGGTAAGCCTTAACCGACATAGACCATGATAGCTTGACAAGGAATCCTGGTGTCACACTCACCAAATAAGGGATTCCTACTTGCCTAAGGTAGGACCATTGTTCTTTAGCCTTAAGTGGATCTCCACTTGCTAGACCTATGTGGGAACATAGTTTATGGGATATGGAGATTGCTACTAGATACCCTGCCTCAACTCACGTGAGGACATCCATCTCAAGAGATTGCTACTAAGTGCCCCGCCTCAACTCACGTATGAGCACCCACCTCAATCAATATCCACTCGGTGCTTGGAATTATTCCCCACGGAGTACACTACATTCATTCACTAAGGGATAAGAGATTGCTACTAGATACCCCGCCTCAACTCACATGAGGGCATCCATCCCAACCCAACAAACATTTTGGAAAGCTTATAGATTCTAAGATGAAAATAGCCTTTCACCTAAGAACCCTATTTCATTCATTAGAGTACAATCGAGGGTAACCTTTCAATAGACTCAACATTCATTAACATTAACATTAAGCTTCATTCATTCATTCATCCATTTATGTAGGTGTATGTGAGAATAGCCTTTCACATAGTCACCATCATTCACAAGTATTAATAGAGAGATAACATTCAATCCTAACACAAGTAACTTCTAAACATTATCACCTTTCATTCAATTAGATCACACACATGCTTTATATCACATTCCTATATACAACATCATGATAATACTTCAATTCATCAAATTAGGCCTTCAAAGCCATGATCACAATGTACATGATAAGTAAACACCTCCACCTTTCAGGTGGATCAATATACAAAGTAAGTAAACACCTCCACCTTTCAAGTGGATCAATAGCTCAATCACAACACCACCTCAACAAGTAAATTAGGTCAAATTTCCCTTTCAAGGCTATGATCAAAAATCCTCAATTCACCAACAATTCACCACAATTATACATAGATAATGATAGAATTCAATAATCTAAACCAATCTAAGCTTACATCCATCAACATTCATTCAAAATCAATAAACCCCATTTAGGAATTTAGAGAAATCATGGGTTCATTGGATATTTTCATCTAAAATCATCAATTAAACATCAATATAATCATAATTTATCATTTGAAAATGTTTGATGCAAGAAACCATGAGATTGAGTGAAAACTCAACTTTTTGTGATTTGAAAACTTCTTTGAATTAGCTCTTTGAATGGAAGATTAGACAAGGATCAAAGACACCACACCTATTATATGAGAATCCACGAAATCCCCTTGAAAAATCTTTGAAAATATTGATGAAATTGACCTTGGAAATTTGAAGTCTTCAATGGAGTTCTTAGAGAGAAAGTAGTTTAAGAGGGAGGGTTTTGATTTGGGGTCTTGGGTTATCATTTATTAAAATGTGTTTTAATGACTTAAAATAGTTTATATAGGTCTATTAAATCAGTGTAAAACAACCCTAAACTAAAATAATTTGATTAGGAAATTATTAGACCATCACTTACCTTGGCCGACTTCTTGACAGCATTGCAGCCTCTCACTCACGCCTACCACTCACAGATCGTGAGTGGGCCTTCTGACCGTGCTGCTGGTCCGTAGGTCAGGGCTGGGGCTCAAAAATGAAGGCCAAGCCTCCATATACTAAGTCCTAACCCACGCCCATGACCTACGGGGCGTGGACTGGTCTAAGGGGAGTGAATGGCTTCCGTGAACCAAGCTGTTTTGACAGCTTTTTGGGCAGTGTTGGGGTCCTCCTCAAGGATCCCTTGGGTGATCCTTGGGGAGTCGTACCCCGATGTTTAACCCCTAAACATGTAATTATAAGTATGGGAGCCATTTATCTTGATTTTAACCCTCATACAACACTACAAGACACTACAACACACTAGTTCAACTTACTAGTTTCCCGGCGTTATAGTCGTGTCTTGACGTTTAACTCCTAAATTCCTCAACCTTCACTCGGGAAACCATTTAACAACATTTAATCAAGTTACCAACTTCAAACTCACATGTGAGGCTCTAGTTTCACCTACTACATTTCGTCAAGCATTAGCTAGGTCTTACTAGTTTTTACAAGGTGTTACAATTGAAGTGAGTCTTCAAGAACATAAGATTTTACATTCTTGACTTCTTGATGAAGAATTTAAGTGCTTCTAAAGAAATATTTTAATAATAGTAGATTTTGAAGTGACATTTTAAAAGTAAATTTTTTTAAAAAAATTAACCGAATCGTACCGATACCGAAGAGAAATTGATAGTCCGATATGACTGGGATGATTTTTAGAAAATCTATTTTTTGTTATATAATATAAAATATTCAAAAAAAATTGAGATGATATATTTTTTAAATAGATAATCGACCGTCTCATTGACACCCCTACATTATATCATAAAATTAGTATAATATACTAATTTAGGCAATATATTATATGTTTCCCTCTCATTTCGAAACCCTTCTAACTGTCTCAAGTATTTGCAGAAATCCTAAGTAGAAAAAACATTCAACTAATTCTCTCAAATCTCCAATTTTTTCAAAGTTCAAATCTTTACAAAGGAAGACACAAAAATTGATTCTTCTTCTGTATTTCATCTTCAAAGGAAAAAAAATCATTTTTGTATCTATTGTTTTTCTCATCATTTCAAAGTATACCCTTTTCTTGAAATTCCTAAAAATCATTCTTTACATTTTAATTTGATTCTTTCATAATTTTTTAATCTACTAGAAACCCTTAATGAACCTAGAGTTCTCATACCTCCATTCTTGATTTCTCTCTAGTTTTTGTTGCTGTTTTTTTACTTCTCAATGAAAAAAGTAAATGCAAAGAATGTACAAACATCACTTGATCATGAAGCTCTGAAAACTAAAGAAATTGGGAAAAACAATGTTGATTTTTCATCAGTAAAAATTGAAGTTGAAGAAAAACCAAAATAAAAGGATTCGGGTTTGGATGAACGGTGACCGGTTCAGGTTGATTCTGATTCATTGATCATTATTGTTGATTCTGATCAATGGGCTATACTATTTCTTCTGATGGTGATGGGCTTTCATATTTTGATTGGGCTGAAAGGCCTCCTTTAACTGTTGTACCTATTTCTTCAATTAAGCCCAAAAATTTCAAAGAGATAGTTGAAGAAACTAGGCCTATTGAGAATAAGTCTTCTAAAATGGTGGTATGATTCTAACTTTTAATCTCTTTTAAGTTATACAATTTACAATTTTAGCCTATTTTATGACATCTTAATTCTTAATCAATCAATTGTGTAGTGAAATGGCGCGGGTTAGCCACTTTCAATCTCTTTCAAGTGATACAATTTATAATTTTAGCCTATTCGTATGACATCTTTATCAATCAACTTGGCCTATTTTTATGACATCTTTATCAATCAACTATATAGATAAATAGTGTGGTCTAATCAATCAACTATTGTAGTAAATTTGCCAGGGCTAGCAACTTTTAAGTTATTTCAAATGATAAATTTTTTGCCTATTTTTAGGATATCTTAATCAATCAACTATGTAGTAAAATAGATTGGGTAGGGCCTAACCACTTTTCAGCTCGATAATTGAGAACTAGCTAGCCATTGTTATAATAAAAATTTCAATTTAAATAGTCACTTTTAAGTGTGGGCTAACGAATATTCGGTAGACATTGAGATATCATACATTACCAAACAGACTCTATTGTGTGTATTCTCAGAGGCGGCTCTAAGGCTTGGCCAGTGAGGCCATTGCCTTAGGCCTCAAAAATTTGAAGGCCCCAAATTTGTTTAAATTATTACTATTATTAATTTTATTATATATTATTATAATTTATATAGATAATTTTTTTATTGTATATTTTTTGTTATTATTTGTTTGAGAGTATTTTTTACCAATAAGTTCATAAATTCTCATAATCTTTTCACTCATTATTTGATATATTTGTTTTAACTTCCAATTTTAAATTTTATCCTTTTTTTATAGGAGCTAAGTTATATATATTGATAACATAATGAATTTTTTTCAATCTTTTCTTAAACTACATGAACACAAAAATATTCATGCACAAGTATAATTTGTTTTAGATATTCACCATTTCCTTTTCGTTTTAATTTAATATATTATATGAAAATTTTATAATTTGTTTTAGATATTCACTAATGAGTGCTACTTAATGGAATGAATTATATCATTTAAAAAGAATTATATCATTTAAATTGATCAAATATTTGGATATTTTTGTTACTATCCATGCTCAAAACCTCAACTATTAAGTTATGTATGTTCTTTTCTTTTTCTTATTTGTGATGATAGCCAAATTAAAATTTTAATTTGAGTTTTAATGCTTAACATCGATAATCCATCACTTTTATTTTTTGTCCTCTTCTTCCTTTCTTTTTTTTGTGTGAAATTTGATATTTTTTGTCTTAAATGATTAACCTATTGTGTAGAAAATAGATTTTCTTGTTAGTTTATAAATTTTATAAAATAAATTTAAGGGCCTCTTAATATAATTTTTCCTTAGGCCACGAGACCTGTTGAGCCGCCCATGTGTATTCTATATATTAACTTTTGTTGTTTCCGGTGCTTATGTTATTATCTGATTTTAGGGAAGTGGCATGTGTAACTTAGGCAACACATGTTTTCTGAATGCGGTTGTGCAATCTTTTATGCACACCGTAGTGTTTCTTCAGCTACTTGGATCGATTGATCATGTATTGCCATGTGATAGTAAGTATCAACTTATAATCTCCCTTTATTTTGATCTATTTTGAATGGTTTTTACCTTAGTTGATTCATCTTATTTCTTGTTGCAGATCACATGATCGGATTTTGTGTAGTTTGCATGATTTGAGATCTAGTTGACCTTTGTATGTTTGGTGCCTCTGATTATGTCTCGTCAAAAAAAATTGCTAGTCACTTGAGAGGTATGCTTTATCATATCTTGTTTGTGATTTAACATGAGAGATACTCGCATCTTGTGCGCACACACACATGGAAATGGGTGGATTAACGGGAACCTATGTTCCCGTCTCTAAACCCTAGTCATTTATTTATTTTCATTTGAAGTTTACTTTAATCCTAAATGAAGGGCTGAAATAACATTCTCATCAATGAAGTACATGAAATATAATTTGCATAATAGGATCGTTTTTAAAGTAGAAAAACTTATTGATCGAGGACAATCGTAAAATTGTTATATATAGTATCAATTGTAGTTTGTTCTTCAACTTGTGCTTTGTGCCTGTGTGCCAACTATGTACCTTATGTTTCTTTGTATTCCTTAACTTTGTGAAAATATCATATTTTTCGCCCGATTTCGGGTTGTATCAACAAGAAGATGCACATGAATTCTTACGGTGCTTTTTCAATAAACTCAAAAATTGTTGCTATAATTTGTTGGGTTATGAGGGTGATTAGGGAGTCATGCGGAAGCTTACAATTGCAAATCATAAAACAATAAATTAGACGACACATAAAACTATACTAAAAGACATAATATTATTATATGATATGACCAATTGGCCTACATGATTAAAAACTAATAAAAAGATATTAAAACTGTAGAGAGTAAAATCTCCCCATAAACAAAAGTCTTAAATGTCTACATTGTGGATGTTATTGTGTTCTGCTATGAGAATATGGATCTTCAATTTATAGATCTCCAAACTTTCCTCTAAGGAAAGAATAAACCAAATATGGAAGAAAATTATATTTTCTTTCAGAAAAAGTTCAAGCATTTATGGTAATACTTTGACTTTTCTTTAAGGAAATAAATAAACTTCAAATAAGGAAAGAAAATCAGGCCAAAACCATAATAAATCTCCCTTTTGGCTGGATTTTCTTGACAAAACTTGATCCGTCTTCTTCATATGCATGATACCTTCGTTCTTTACATAATCTTCATCACTGCTGCTTGCCATAGTTAAAAAATAAAGTTTAAAATCTATGGGTAAAAAATGATTTAAAAATATTTTATTTTTATTTTCAAAGATGCAGCAACAACAATGTTGAAAATATGGTTTTAATATTTACTCCACATGTAGCTGGACAAAAATCTTCTTTATCATCAAATTAGTTACAAATTGATTTGAAACCACTTGAACATGTCTTCAACCTCATTCAAGCATTAGATTATTGAACCATATTCTCTGATACCACTTGTTGGGTTATGAGGGTGATTAGGGCCTCATGCGAAAGCTTATAATTGCAAATCATAAGACAATAAATTAGACGACACATAAAACTATAATAAAAGACATAATATTATTATATGATATGACCAATTAGCCTACATGATTAAAAACTAATAAAAAGACATTAAAATTGTAGAGAATAAAATCTCTCCATAAACAAGTCTTAAATGTCTACATTGTGGATGTTATTGTGTTCTGCTATGAGAATATGGATCTTCAATTTATAGATCTCCAAACTTTCGTCTAAGGAAAGAATAAACCAAATATGGAAGAAAATTATATTTTCATTTCAGAAAAAGTTCAAGCATTTATGGTAATATTTTGACTTTTCTTTAAGGAAATAAATAAACTTCAAATAAGGAAAGAAAATCAGGGCAAAACCCTAACATAATTTAGAGCTACAAGATAACATTGTGGAGGAGGCCTTTGGTGGTCGCTTTGTGAGCAAGGTAAGCATTTACATATTTTTTATCTCAATTTTTTTTAATTTTTCAAATTGCTTTGTAGTGCTTTTACTTGGGTCGAGGGCTATCAGAAACGTCCTCCCTACCTCCCAAGGTAGGGGTAAGACTTGTGTACCCTTTGTATGTCTAGCTTGTATATATGGAATTTGTATTGTTAATTTGTTTTTCTTGATTTGAAGCTCCGATGTTGCAATTGTGGTCATTTATCTGTCACACAAGAGCCTCTAATCGACATAAGCTTAGAGATTGAAGGCGTTGACAGTGTACCAGCAGCACTGGAGTCCTTCACTAAAATCGAGAAAATTAAGTATTCTTGTGAAAGGTGTAAGACACAGGGGCCATTTGAGAAATATCTCCTCGTTCATTATGCCCCTTCTGTTGCTGCCCTACATTTGAAGAGATTCAAAAATAACGGGATAGTTGTTTAGAAGGTGGATATGCATGTTTCATTTCCGCTGGAATTGGACATGCTTCTCTATACATCCAAAATCAATAATGTGAGTATCTTCATTTGGAATTTTATGTACATTTTATCGTTTGTTAGCAATTACATGATGTTGTTTCAAAATTTTCCTTTTCTCAACAGGAAGAAATAAAATACGATCTCTACGCAGTTATAGTGCATTCGGATCTTCAATCTCTTTAGGACACTATTACAGCTTCATTCGTTGTGCTTCAAATGAATGGTACAAATTTGATGACAATCGGGTATGGAAAATAGTAGAATTTCCTTATTTTGTTAGAAATATTTTGATTTTACGACAACCAACTTAATATTTTGTTTTATTTTGTCATAGGTTGTTTTTGTTGAAGAAGATTTTGTTTTAGCAACTGAGGCGTACATTATGTTTTATCCAAAGAGAGGCACTCCGTGGTTTTCAGATTACATTCAAATTCACATGCCCTTAATTTGTCAATCTTGTTGTCCCCACTTCTCCGTGCATTCCAAATAATCATGCTTTCAACGTTGGTGAATCGAATAATGGTGCAGATGAGACATCTATGAAGCATGAACTCAACAAGACTGAGGATAGTGATTCCCATGGTAAACTCATCTTCTACTCTATTTCTGCATTTTCTTTATTTTAAGCTGAGGGTTTATCAGAAATAACCTTTCTATCTCAATCGGGTAGATTAAGATTCACTAGCACAAATTCAATTTCCTTTTTTTCCAAGTTAAATATATGTTCAAACATCAAACACAACATCCAAATACATATTTTTTCAACTTCAATCAAATGTAGTTCAAACAACTACTAAATGTTTCTTTTTTAACATTAGTAGATCAGGTTTATTGCGAAGATCAATTGCAGGACGTTGAAATAAAGTTGGCATGTTCAAGCGATGAAGAATTCATGGATGCATTGCATGAAGGCTCACATGTAAGTTCTATGAATGAAAAGAAGAGGAAGCTGAAAGATTCTCCGAGTAGAGACGATTGAAGTTCAGCTAGCTAGTAATTGTCGGTCAAGCCTTGGCTCTGCAGGTTTACATTTTGTAATGGCTAGTAGCAACAACAATAAATGGGTAATTTGAACTCATAGAATAGTCTTTTTGATATAATGCTTTGGGTTTCCATAAGGTGAATTCAAAATTTTGAGTTTATGGATTCAAAGACGGAAATAATATCTTATTGGATTTTGGATGAATTATTTATACATTAAAATTGATTTTTGTTTGGTTTTTGAATATCTTTCCCTTGACATTGTGAATGAAAGAGTTTTGAGTAGTTACTGTGTTATGTTGAACCTGTAGTAAGAACGCTACTCACGTCCAACCAGGTCTTAAGGTGTGTTCGGTATGATAGGAAAAATGTTTTCCAATTTTTTATGTTAGGTTGGTTAAATATTTTGGAAAATATTTTTTCTAGGAAAACTAAGTCCTTAAAATGAGGAAACTGACTTCCCTTAATGAAACTATGAAAATTTTGAAAAATATTTTCCTTTCGTATTGATAAACACACTTAATGTACTACGTACTCTTGAACTGGCCTAAGTTGTTTTTGGATACCCTGTTTAGTTTATTATGTAACAATGCATTAAAGTTGCAACTTGCTAACATCATGTATTACTACATTTTCTAGTTGCTGTACTTTACTGTAAAACAACATATTTAGTGTAATGTGACAATGATATGGAAAGGGTGGTGTGTATGTAGCCTTATATCTATTTTCAGCAAGATAGAGACTATTTCCGGTACATTGTGTAAAAGATAACAAGAGTAAATTAAAGTATGTAAAGCAAATATAGTAATGAAGAAGTCGTATTGAAATGGAAAATAGAACCATGACGATAAATAATATGATACTTGAAGCAAAAGAGACAACATGTCATACTAAAATCAAAGAATAAGATAGTATATATGAGAGTAAGAATTAAAATAATAATAATAATAATAATAATTATGATAAGGAAACTAGTCAATGCTCGGAACTGATTTGGGTATGTTTTACTTGAGTCGAAAGTTTTCTAACAGAAACAATCTCTCTATCTTTGTGTTGGTCTTTTGAGCATTTTTAATATTTATTTAGTGTTAATTTTCCTCATAATGACCTAGGACTAATGCCTTTTTGCCTTGGTAAATATTTAGAGAACATGATCAGTAAATACAATTCTTTGCTGCCGAACATTTTCTTCATAGCTTCTTCATTAGTAGTTAGGGACTGTACACATTGAATTGTGTAGTGACTTTTGTCCATTGAGTTTCATTTGTACGTTGAGGGACGTTTGTTGCCCACATTATTTTTCACTCTTTATTCCCCCATTATTCTTTTTAACCTATGTAACCTCTAGACCATTTGTCTTCACTATTAACTACCCCATTATCTTCCTACTTGTTGCTAGGAAGACTTTCTCAACTATAAATAGTGGTGGTTTTTATTTGGTTTGGGTAACACACAAGAAATTATAGAGTGTATAAAGTTTTTCAAAAAGAGAGTTCTTATTAGTTGAAGGGGGGTGTTTTTTTCGTGGATCTTTGGACTCAACTCTTGTCCAGAGTTTGTTGAGTTACACTTTCTGATTAGACTGTTGTATCCTGGAGGGGACAATTCAAGAAGGACTACTGTTGGACCGGTGAAAAACATTTATTGCAGTAGGCTTGAATCTCCTTGAAGAGAGCAAGATATTCGCGCCTCAGCCCGAAGAGATTTTTGTTTCTTCATTTCATTTTCAGTTGTAATCTCTTAATCTTGTAATTTTCACTATTAATTTTAAAGAGATTCACAATGGCTACAATTGAAAGAACCACGGATGTCAACATGGGAGACCTTAACAAGTCATTTCGGTTCAATGGTAACCATTTCAAGAGATGGAAGGGTAAAGTACTTTTCCACTTAAGTCTTCTCAATGTATCTTATGTGTTAACTGAGAAGAATCCTAATAAAGTTGACATCACCTCTATGAATGATGATAAACCTATTTCTCATCAAGAGAAAGTGGAAAAATACGATGGTGAGTCCTATATGTGTTGGTATTACATTCTTAATTGTCTATTTGATAATTTTTATGATTATTATGATAGAAATTACTCTAGGTCAAAGAAAATTTTGGAAAGTATTGTAGATTAAGTATGATACCGAATAGGCAGGAGCAAAAAAATATGTGGCTAGTAGATTTTTTTGTTTCCAAATGGTGGACAACAAATCAGTGGTAGACCAAGCTGAAGACTTTATAATGATTGTCGGAGAGCTCAGGTCCGAGGAGATCAAAATTGGAGATAGTAGATAAACTTCCACCTTCTTGGAAGGAATTTCAAAAAATTATGCGCCACAAATAAAAGGAAACCTCTACTGAAACATTGATAATGAAAATCCGCATGGAAGAAGAGGCAAGAGGATAAGATGCACTTTTACAATCAGAAGAGAGCAACATCACAACGAAGGTAAATTTAATTGCTTCAAATAATGCTACTCCTGAACCTCACAAAAATACTAATATGAAACCTAAGAATAAAAAATTCAAGAAAACTAATGGTAGACCTCCCAAGAAAAAAAATGGTGAAACTAACCAAGCACAAAATCAACAAGTTCAAGATAAGGGACTGTGTTCTGTTTGTGGGAAGAGTGGGCATATTGCTCCATTTTGCAGATTCGGGAAACGTGGTTCTACACCTCAGAAAAATGATACTAAAGAACTTTTTGTGGCGGTTATTACAGACATAAACATGGTTGAGAGTGTTGATGGATGGTGGGTTGACTCTGGTGCAAACCGTCATGTCTGTGGTAACAAAGATTGGTTTTAAGAATATACTCATTTTGAGGAGTCTAAAACCATCATGCTTGGTGATTCCCACACAACTCAATTGCTTGAAACGGGAGATGTCGAATTGTGTTTTACCTCTGGAAGGGTGTTAACTTTGAAAGATATACTTTATACTCCTTCCATGAGAAAAAAATTGATGTCTAGTTTTCTTCATAATAAAGTAGGTTTAAACACTTTATTGAATCTGATTAATATGTAATTGTGAAGAAGAGTATTTTTTGTGGGAAAAGGGTATGCTTGTGATGGGATGTTCAAATTGAATGTTGAAATGAATTAAGTTTCTAATTTTGTTTATATGTCTTCTTCTACTAATTTTTGGCATGTTCTTTTGTGTCATATTAATGATCGTTATGTTGGAATCATGAGTAGTTTAGGGAATTTTGAAAAGTGTGAGGCTTGTAGTAAAGCCAAAATCACTGAAAGGCCTCATTTTCAGGTTGAATGAAAACCTAATTTGTTAGAATTAGTTCATACTGATATTTCTGAACTTGGAAGAATTTTAACTCGTGGAGGTAATAGATATTTTATTACTTTCATTGATGATTTTTCTAATTTTACATATGTTTACTTGATGAATAATAAAAGTAATATTTTTGAAAACATTAAAGTTTATCTCTATGAAGTTGAAAATCAGTTTGGAAGAAAAAAAAATTAAAAAATTTGAAGTGATAGAGGTCGTGAATATGAATCAAATGAGTTTCATTCTTTTATTAGATCATTGAGAATAATTCATGAAACTAATCCTGCTTATTCTCCTTCATCTAATGTTGTAGCGGAAAGGAAAAATAGAACTTTGGTTGAATTGACTAATGACATGCTTATTCAGTCAAATGCACCTTTAAACTTATAAGGTGAAGCTATTTTGATTGCTTGTTATGTGTTGAATCGTGTGCCTCATAAAAAGTTTATGTTGACACCTTTTGAATTGTGGAAAGTTCACAAGCCAAGTTTTGTATATATAAGAGTATGGGTTGTCAAGCCTTTGTGAGGCCTCTGGATTGTCACGACCCGAGCCTACACCCTAGACGTGGCCGACACTCGAGAACCATTTTTGGTCTCCCAGCAAACCCTCACCCAGGCTGACTACAAGTGGAAGACTAACTCAAGCATACAAAGCTTAAAACTGAATAAAATTCATTGAAATCAATTACAAAATATGTAACTCA